TCATTCTGTCTTTGCATCTAATAATTGTCATGCTGTTTAACAACTGTACTTTTAAATTTAATACATTTTAATATTTGATAAAAGAAACATCACCTTTACTCTTTTTAAAAATGTTGCCTAGTACCATTCATTTATCCTTCCATATGAATTTTAGAATCATTCTGTAAAGTTCTCAAAATGTAACAGTCAACAAATTATGTCGATAACCATTTGGAAAAAGACAAATATAGATTCCTACCAAATTCCTTATACCAAAATAATTTTCAGATCAAATATATTAAGAAGAAATTATAAAGCATTAGAAGAAATCTTGGCTTAGTAAGGATTTATAGTATGACAACCAAGATAAAAACCTTAAAGAAAAAACTAATAGAATTAAGCCACTCTAAACAATTGTTTATAAAACAATTGTATTTCCATAAAAATTACTAAGCAGAATTAAGGTAAACTGGGAAAACACACACAATTGCAATGAAACAGCAAAGAGTTAATATATTTAATGTAGGAAGAGCTCTTTCAAAATAGTAAAATATAAATATCCTTAAAAAAATGAGCAAAGAATTTAAATGAAGTTGTGGCCACCTCTGTTGGAGGACAGGGCTCTAAGTTGATTGTGTAATAGATAATGCACTTTCTCAATGGCTCTACAGTCATTATTAACATGTCTTCCTTCCTCCCGACAAGGACATAAGGTCATTTCTGTCCTTCAAGTTTGAACAGTTAATAAATCAGAGAATCCAAGGGGTATGTTCTATTTCCCAGGAATGATTGACACTTTGGTGCTGGGGTTTTATGGGGGGAGGGGGTAGTTTTTGTTTAGCTTGTGTGGGATTGTGTGGGAGGGGAAGTTTTGATTGTTTTTTTTTCTTTTCTTCTGTGAGCTGTTGACGCCTGAAGTAGAACAAGCACGTCTTCAGGTAAAGAGAGGGATTTCTCAACCCACTTTCTGTGATGTCAGACTATTGGAGAAACCCTTTCAGCTGCTTTCCAGATGTACCTAAATTCAGTCAGATATTTTGGATTAAGAAACCTGAAGTCCTGACAGATCATATACTCCAAGGAAATACATCAGGGACAGATAATTGGCTGAAAACACTGATGCTTCAATGTGACACATTTTTATAGAACATTTCTACCAGGGGGTACCGACTTGATTTCTCCTACAAGGACCACACTGCCTTTGTGTTTAATGTAATGTAATCTGTGTACCTTCTAATCATATATCTGCAAAATTTTCTCATTTTTATAAAAAATCATGCCAATAAGCTAGATGTTGAATGTATGTAAGCAGCATTTGGTAACTGTGCTAAGAGGCTACAAAAGTGCATTACTGGTTTAAAATTTTTTTTTTTTTAGTTCTGATTTGGTTGGATAAGGTTTCATTATGACCTCTTCTGGGTCTCAGGCTCTAATGCTTGATTGAAATAGAAGAAAATATATTGGTTTTTGAAAATCAGTGTATTGTGACTTGAACTGCTATACATTCTTCCACACAATATGTCAGAGTGATTAGTGCTTTGTACATTTCGACATTTTTATTTTATTGTTCTGAAAGAAAAAATATACTGAGTTTATAGAAAGTATTCTCCTAATTAACAAAGTTTAAAATATTATCTCTACTGATTAAAATTACAACAGATTTTGATAAATAAAATAACCAGAAAAAAAGAGCAAAGAAAAGAACATAATTTACAAAAGAATGGAAATAGCCATAAGTAGATGAAAAAAATGCTCAATCTCATTCATAATTAAAGAAATACAAATTAAAACAAATAATCAGATACCATTTTTTCCACCTATCAGATTGACAAAGACAAGCCTAAAAGTAGGAGAAATTTTAAAAAATAATAAATAATAGTGCCCAATACTGAGAGTGGGAGGAAATGGACGATATTGAGAAAGTGTGAGGAAATGGACATTCCCAAACACTGCTGGTGAAAGTGTGTATCAATGCACCTTTGAAGAGTACTTTGACAATATATATTAAAATCTTTAAGAATGTATGACTACTCTGATGCAACAATCTCACTTCTAGGGTCATTTCCTGAGAAAATAAATGGACATATACTCCTAAATATTTAAATAAGGATGTTCACCCATGCACTACTTATAAGAGTGAAAAAATAAAAAAACTATATGTTCCACAACAAAAGACTGGTTATATAAATGAAGACATTTAATGGTAGATTGAACTTCTATACAATCATTATGACTCACATTTGTTGACACGTATTTAAAAAGGAAAATTTTTAACTTGTGAAAATTAAATAAAATATTGCATTATAAAGTGCTTAGCATACTGCCTGTCACATTGTAAGCATATAATTTACATTTTCACATTATGTTTTATGGAAAATTTCAAACGTATACAATATGGAAAGAGTAAGATGATGAACCCCTATATATTCATCACCTAGCTTCAACAATTATCAACATTTTGCCATTCTTAGTAATTTTTTAAGTTTGCAACTATTCCTCTCTTCCCATACACACACATACAGTGTTTTTCCTACCAAATGTACATGAATGCAATGTACACAGCATACAAGCACAGAAAAAGTCAGAAGAAACTTACACGCAAATGTTAACCATGGTAAATCTCTAAAGGATGGAATTATGAGTAGTTATATTTAATTCTCATTTCATCTACATTTTCTCATTTTTCTAAAATGAACATGTATTATGTCATTTTAATAGCTGACTAAAAGAAAAAAATCAAGCAAATATATGACTCAAAGAGTGAGAAGTTATTCTGAACTCCACTTTTTTTTTTTTTTTTTTGGTTATGTGGCTTGAGGGATCTTAGTTCCCCGACCAGGGATTGAACCTGGGCCCACAGCAGTGAAATCACTCAGTCCTAAACACTGGACCACCAGGGAATGCCCTGAACTCCACTTTTAGATGTTAAAAAATACAGAAGAAAAAACTTTACATCAAAATTTTTTTTAAATTGAGTGGAAGTGTGGATGTTGATATCCATTTATCCAATCTGCAAGACTTTCTACCTTTATTGTTCAATGGTGATTCACATATCAACAAAATGCAATGTTTCAACCTTAACTGGAGTCCAAGACATTATTTCACACAACTCAGGAAATTTGAACAGACTAGATATTAAATTATTTAAGAAGTTATTTAGTCTGTTAATGTGACTCTGGTATGTCTATTTTTTTTAAGTCCTATCTGTTGGGAAATAAGACAATGTCTGTGATTTGCTCTGTAATATTCCAGCCAAAAGTAAAAAGTAGGGAAGGATGAAACAAAATTGGCAAAATGAGTTGTTGCTCAAAGAGTCTTAGTCTTGCAAGCTGAAAAAGTTCTAGAGATTTGTTACACAACAAGGGGCATATAGTTAACACTACTGTACTCTTTAAAATGGTTAAGATGGTAAGTTTTAATGCTTTTTACCACAATTTTTTAAAAGATTGGCAAAATGATAACTATTATTGCTGGGTAATGAGTATACAGAAATTCATTTTTTTAAAAAATTTTAAATGAGGACCACAAGGGAGAAAGAAATATAAGTAACATTTTTTACTTAATCAGAGCAGTTTTAGTTTAAAGAAAACTATCAGAAGAATAATTCAAATACCTTTAAGTAGGGAAAACAAACGTTGGTTTTTTAAAGGCATCTTACTCTAGCCCCAGCTAAATTATGGTAAATAAAAATCTCATTTTTACTAACAATGAAGCTTTAATTATGCTGAGTAATCACAATAGTAATTTGAAAAAAGGATCTACAATCAACAATAAGCATACTACATAGATGAATAATTGAGAACTTAAAAACCAGGACTCAATTTTCTATTTTGCCAATCTGAGGCCTACAATATCTTACAGCTATTTATGTTTATACAGTGCTTTAGCATTCAGGCCAAAAAACGCTGGTCTAGACATCCAGGATTTTACTGGCCCACTCTGGCTGCATAGCTTGCTGCAGCCTAGTAAATAATTTTGTTCCTTGAGATTGCTGTGGGCCCCTCTTGCCATTCTGAGTAGATTCACTAACAGCAGAGCCATTTGTGGTAGTTTACTAGCCTGCTGATATTTCAGGGGGGATGATTAAAAGCCAATATATTACTGAAACTTAGAGCAGCAAATAATACAGATTGTTTCTTAAAAACAATTTTTTTTTAGAGCTTCTCTCTAGCTCTCTTAACTTCTCCAGTAATTCTCTCTTCTACAAAACTGAGATAACTACCAACCTTGACAAATTATCATGGTATTAAACAGATAACATATAACTATATATTCTAGATAACTACATTTAGAAGAAGCACTGAGACAGTGTCTAGCACACAGAAGATGGTCACAAATATTCACTACCCTCTATTTTCATTTCCCTTTTGATCTTGGTTTTTAATTGAAAAAGCAAACAAACTGAATACGTTCTAAGAAGAAAGTTCCTAAATTAGGTAGCTAATTTTTTGTTTTGTTTAAGCCATTACTTTTTCATTAAAAAACAGTTTCTAGTAGTGTTCTAAGAAGTGTTTCTGTTGCCACAAAGATACTGCTTTTAGTTAGTGTGAATCTTTCAATATTTGTGTCCAAACAGGTGGACTGGCCGAAGCTCCCTGGCTGAGGGACCTCAGCCAAGGCACCCCGAACTATCAGAGATGGACAAGACACAGACAGAAGTGGAACCAAGGCAAGAGCCAGAAACAGCCAGAGTAAGTAAGCCAGAGCCAGAAAGAAATGGAAAAGGAGACAGAGAGAGCAGAGGTAGAAGGAGAAAAGGAGAGAGGGAGAGACCAAGATTAGGAGAGTGAAACAAATGTGAGTGTGGAGTGAGCATGAGAATGCAAGACAGTGACAGAGTGAGAGAGCAAGAAAGAGCACGAGTGAGGAGTTAGGAACCGCTGAGAAAAGCAGCAAGCAAGGGAGCAAGAGGGCGTGGGGACGTGGGTGGACATGGTGAGCACATGCGCAGAGCATTAAGCCAGCTCAAATGTAATCAAAACCTCTCTGCCTCTCATTATCCCAAAATGTCTTAAACTTACCTGAATTATCTCTGATTGTTCAGCCAGAGCCTTCCTTTGAGCCTCCAGAGAAGATACCTGTTGCTGATAAATCAAGCGCTGCTTCTCCCAGTCCAGTGATTTCTGACGAAATTCCTGAAGAAGCAATTAAGGTACTTAACTTCTAAGTGCTTCCCCTTGCTGTCACTACTTTCCAGATTCACTTTTACTTTAATTGTTCCCCAGGTCCCTGGGTACACATGCACCTTTCTCCACAGCAGGAGCCCCATTACTCACTTAGCTGATAGAACTATAGAGTAATACTAAATTCCTTACATACTGTGCCTCTGGAGATCTGTCTTTCTAAATTTAACACCCTAATGGTGAAGAGTATGAAATACAGATGCTAAATACTGGATTCATGATTTTCAAAGATCTGCTGCCACCTAAGGGTTGCTAATAATTTTTTTTAGTGATTTTTCAGAAAACTGATGCTAAGATAATGAAAATTTCAAAATATGATTACAGATACCCCTCACTGCCCAAATTCTTGATATCCAAACCCAGGAACTGAACAGATTCAATTAAATTTTCAGATAAATCCCTGGGTAGCCCAATTCTTATCACTGTCTAAAACTCAGGAACCAAATAGATTCAGTTAACACAGTATCCTTTGATATCCAAATTTTTATTATCTCAACAGAACTGCAAAGACATGAATAACAAGAAATATCTGTATTAAATTTTAACAGATATCTGTAACCCAAAGCCAAACAGTTCAAAATCAATGATGGATCAATAGTAACTTCAAGTTGCATGATCAAGAAAATGAGCACAGTATTTGAAAATGAGGCAAACCAAAGGGAAAGGAAACTCAGTCTTTCCATCACTGTCCTGCAGGAGCCTCAACTCCAGAAGTCTCATGCTAGCTTAGGGTAATTACTGTTCACCAGCTGATACTCACTTATTATTTCTACCATATACATGCCAGGTACTGTTCTAGGTACTGGGGATACACTATTTAACAAAACAAAAATTCTAGCCCCACTCCATTGGAGGGAGATAGGCAACACATTCATTGTACAGTACATTAGATAGTAATACAGTCACCCCTCAGTATCTGTGGGGGACTAGTTCCAGGTCTCTGCAGATTCTAAAATCCACAGATGCTCACATCCCTTATATAAAATGGTGTATTATTTGCACATCCTCCCATATACTTGAAATCATTTCTAGATTACTTATAATACCTAATACAATGTAAATGCTATGTAAATAGTTGTAAATACAATGTAAATGCTGTGAAAATAGTTGCTTGTGCATGACAGATTCAAGGTTTGCTTTCTGGAACTTTCTGGTATTTTTTTTCCCCAGAATATTTTAGATCCATGGTTGGTTGAATCCATGGATGCGGAACCCACAGATACAGAAAGCCAACTGTACCTGTTTTGGGGAAAATAGAGCATGAAGTGCTCAGAGTTGGGGGCTGCAATTTTCAAAAGGAGTGGCCACATTGAGTAACATTTAAGTAAACACCAAGGGAGACAGGGATGAAGTTATACTATTCTGGGAAGAGGGAACAGCAAGTACAAGGCCTTGAAGTGGAAGCATCCTGGTATGTTCAAGGATGAGCAAGGAGGTTGGTGTGGCTGGAATGAGTGAGTAAAAGGGAAAAAAGGAAGGGAAAGGTCAGAGTTAACAGGTGGTGAGACTACGTAGGTCATTATGATAACTTTGTCTTTTAAGAGAAGCTACTGGAAGGTTTATGTACAGGAGAGGACATGATTTGACTTACATTAAAACAGAATCATTCTGGCTATTGTGCTGGGAAAAGAGAAATCAAGGGTGACTCCAAGGTTTTTAGGCTTAAGCAATCTCAGGAATGGAGTTGCCATTAACTGAAACAGAAATGGTGCTGGAAGATAGGAGAGAAAAAAATCAGGGCCTTTATTTTGGACATGTCAAGTTTGAGACAGCTTTAGACATTGGAGATGTGAAACAGGAGGTTGGAAATTATTCTGTAGCAAAAAGGAGAGGTCAGGACTAGATATACAAATGTGGGAATTATCAACATATACACAATGCTTAAAACTATGAGACTGAATGATATCACCAAGGGAGTGGACCTAGACAGAAAAAAGAAGAGTACAATGACACAACCGTAAGGTGTTCCAATGCTAAAAGGTTGGGGAACAAAAGAGACTGAGAAAGAGTGGCAAACAAGTTAGGAGAAAACCTAGGAAAGTGCAATCGTTCTCCAAGCCAAATCCAGAAAGAGGTGTAAGGAGGATGGAGACCAGCTGGGTCCAGTGCTGCAGACAGGATGGGGAAGATGAGGGCTGGCCACAGGCTTGAGTAATGGGGAAGTCACTGGTGACCTCCATGCAAACAGCTTCTGCAGAGAGAGGGGGCAAAAGCCTTACTGAGTGGGTGTAAGAAAAATGGAAGGAAAGGAACTGGAGACAAGTATAGGTACTTAAAGTAGTTTAGTTATAAAATGAAGAAGAAAAATGGGGCAGTATCCAGAGGATGAAGAGAGAGGTCAAGAAAGGATATTTAAGAGGGGGGAAGTTTGCATGTTGGTGGAAAATATCCAGTAGGGAGGAAAAACCTGATGATGCAGAAGAGAGGAGCATTTCTAGAGTGATGTGGGTAGGGAATAGGGAGAGCATGGACGGTCCCTCCAGCAGGAAGGCAGAGTATATGGGTGCAGTTGCAAATAGGCAGGTAGACACAAGGTTGGAAGTTTGTGAAAATTATCTTCTATTTTCTCAATGAAATAGAAAGATCATCATCCAAAAGTGAGGATGTGGGGAAAAGTGTTGAAAATTCAAAAAAAGAGAAAGTATGAAACAGTCATTATGGAAAGTAGGAGAGTGAGGGGAAATATGATTCTGGGCAGCATGAGGACCCATTTGAGGCGAGTGACCGTGAATTTAAAATGAGGCCAGTCAGCACGATTATATTTTTCTCCAGCCATGGTCTGCCACACATGACAGGTAGAAAATGGGGAGAAAGCTGGATTTAACGAGAGTTACAGTTTTGCCAAGCAAAGGCGATGAAGTAAGAGAGAGCACAGAATTGAAGGGGAATATAAGGAGTGTAACCATGGGATGGAAGCTGGGTAAGGACTTGTAACTGAGGACACAAGGTAGAGACAGAGCAGTGACAAGTGGCAGGATCCAAGCACTTTAAGGGATGGGGGGTCAGGTGAGTATTGAGCATCAGGAGCCAGAGGGAGAGAGCTGAAAAGACAGGGATGGTAGTTGGAGAATGTGAGCTTAAAAATGTGATTCTAGGAGGGTTGCAAGTATTGGTAATGATAACACCTAAGGAAGGACAATGGGAAAAGGGAGAAGAGACAGATAGGAGATCAAAATATCTGTGGAGGAAAGAACACCAAGGAACTCAAAGACCACAGTATTATAAGCATCATCTCTGTGGATACTGAAATCCTCAAGAATTATGATAAGAGCAAGGTTGGAGAGAATGACAGTGAAGTGGGAGCTGAAGTCTTTGAACAGGAGAGTAACCAGGGATCAGAAGATGACTAACTTTGGCTGTATGTACACTGGTTGGTGGTATATGCTGATGACATGAAAATCGAAGATGGATTTTCTTGTTGGTGGGAATGTAAATTGATACAGCCACTATGGAGAACAGTATGGAGGTTCCTTAAAAAACTAAAAATAGAACTACCATACGACACAGCAATCCCACTACTGGGCACATACCCTGAGAAAACCATAATTCAAAAAGAGTCACGTACTACAATGTTCATTGCAGCTCTATTTACAATAGCCAGGACATGGAAACAACCTAAGTGTCCATCACTGGATGAATGGATAAAGAAGATGTGGCACATATATAAAATGGAATATTACTCAGCCATAAAAAGAAACGAAATTGAGTTATCTGTAATGAGGTGGATGGACCTAGAGTCTGTCATACAGAGTGAAGGAAGTCAGAAAGAGAAAAACAAATACCGTATGCTAACACATATATATGGAATCTAAAAAAAAAAAAAAATGGTCAGAAGAACCTAGGGGCCAGACAGGAATAAAGGTGCAGACCTACTAGAGAATGAACTTGAGGATACGGGGAGGGGGAAGGGTAAGCTGGGACAAAGTGAGAGAGTGGCATGCACATATATACACTACCAAACGTAAAATAGCTAGTGGGAAGCAGCCGCATAGCACAGGGAGATCAGCTTGGTGCTTTGTGACCACCTAGAGGGGTGGGATACGGAGGGTGGGAGGGAGGGAGACGCAAGAGGCAAGAGATATGGGGACATATGTATATGTATAACTGATTCACTTTGTTACAAAGCAGAAACTAACACACCATTGTAAAGCAATTATACTCTAATAAGGGTGTTAAAAAAAAAATAAGATGGAGTTTCTGAGGTACAAAGAAAAGACAATGGTCAGGAAGTGGTAATGGGGAACAAGAACATGAGGGGTTTTTCAAAAAAGACCCAGATTTCACTGAAGAGGGCTGGAGGGAAAGCAGTATCTGATTCTAAGCTCTTCAAATGTATAAAAATATTGAGATATAAAAAAATATTAAATGCAGAAATTAAAATTCTAGGTAGTAATAATATACTGGCATTTGTGGGTGACAGGTCACTGAGTAGAAAAATTGTAAGTAATCACACAAAGATGTTGAACAATGTTTCTCAAATTAGCATTGGCTAGGGAAGCTAGATGAAATGCAGAGTCCTAGCTCGCATGCCATACAACTGGATCAAAATCTCTGAGAGCCTAAAGAGGGCCCTGGGTGACTCTTAGGTACCGTTGAGACCAAGAGCATAGACAGAGGGGATCCAAGGGGAAAAAAGTGACAGCCTCGTGCTGCTCTTTCATCTGCTCTTGGTGGTGTTAACCCACCACTCCCTTAACTCCTCTAGGGAATCAATATATACAATAATAATGGAGTTATTCAGTCTCAATAAAAACAAAGTCAGTAAAGGGGGAGGTAAGTGACTTACCATATCTAAATGGGAACTGACGATAAACAATCTGATATGCAGAGTACTCTGTACAAAAAAGCTTCAACACTTAGTACCTTCAACACTTACTAAGCCCCTACTCTGTTAGGTGATAAAGACAAGGACACTGCCCATGGAGGACAGCTAGTAACTGGTAGTCAATGTTCCTCAATATTGGCATTTTGGGTTCAATACTCCTTCCTGTGTGGAAAAGTCCCAGCCATGTTTAGTGTCCCTGGTCCCTGTGCCCTACACACCAGTTTCACTCCCAGCCATTCTGACAACCGAAACAATGTCTCCATACATTTCCAATGCCCTCAAAGGAGGGTACTGCCCTGTTGAGAGTTACTGATAGCTAGTAACCATCCTGGTGACAGGATGCACAGTGGATCACACTCCCACCTTTGAAACAGCTCAGTAGTAGTCCTGGAGATGAGAGAAAATTGGTTTCAGGAAATAGCACTATTAGAAACAGCATTTTCCTACATGAAGGCTGACAATCACTATGAGCAAATCAGTACTATGAACATACCTCTATTTTTCCAGTTAATCTCTCAATTTCAGACCGATCTTCCCTGTGATTTCTGGCATTTCCTCTGAAGTCTCTTACATGTTTTCTCTGTAGCTTTTCATAGCTTCTCTTCAGTCTGCCTAACTGTAGACACAGTTATTTCTAGACTTAAAATTTAAGAATGTGTAAACAGTGCTGATACAACAAATTGGCATTATGAAAGCACGCACAGAGCTAACTAGTATCCCTGAAAATAGACAGCATGTCAGATAAAATAACAACTCAAAACTACATATAAAAAATAAACACCAGAAAAGAAATATATTGAGTCAAAGAAAAATAAAGGGAAAATATTTTATAAACAGAAGCTTAATTTTTCTTACAATGTACAATCGCCTTGCACTTAGGGGCCCCTAAACCCACCCCCACAATAAAAGCAGCAAATAAAAACCCTGTCTCTCTTCTCTAGGCCTGTGGTTCTTGAACCGTTCTCCTGCGGAACACTGAGTAAGTAAGCAAGAGAGGAGTACTGTGGAATTAAATGAAAATAAAAGCAGTTTTTTCCCAATCTGAAGAATAAAATTGAGTTAACTGATAGAATTTTCTTACTTTTCTTATCTATCCCAAAATGCTTCTGAAACCTTTGGGTCCTCCATTATTTAAAATCTAGTAACTGATTCAACTTAAAAATTAAAACATTTAATATAAGCTTTTGGTATCAGTATTTCATGGTATTATACAAAAATAGCTCTATTTCTTTCAGGTACTCAACCAACAAACACATTTTAGAATCGCTGTTGTAGGTAGTATCAAACACATAAATAGGCAAGATTCTTTACCTGGGTTTAAGAACAGAGAAATAGATTTCCACCCCTGCACCTCCCTTAGTATATATACATCCACTCTATGAAGTAGAAACTGGCTCGTTAACAAAATTCTCATGGGTTGAAGAGACAGAATTATACAACACATAACAGAATTAAAATCTTACTTCTTCATGTAGTTTCTTTAACTCCAGCTTATACTCTATGGCCATCTCTTGCTTGACTTTTTCATGTTCTTCAACCTGCTGACGCAACATTCCAACCTAAAAGCAGAGAGGTGGTAGCATTTTTCACTATTAGCATTGAAACAATAACACTGAAACACAAAAATAGGAAATAACCTTTGCACTTATCTGTGAATACACATTCTCAACTGTACAATTTCTCAGGAAGTCAAATATCTAATTATTTAATAATCCATAACAATGCCAAAAAATGGAAAATGAGCAATTGTTCTAGAATTGCTAGGTTTAGAGGGAAACTTCCTCTGTCTCATTTATTCTCCCCAACCCTTTCTATCAAAAAAAACCTCACAAAAAATTAAGAGAGATGAAGTTACAAGAACCTTGGAATCTAAAAATATGGAACAAAAATCTATAAGACTTCAAGAATAAATTCTATAAATCTAAGTACAGAATAGTAACATCAGACAGAAAGATAGCAGGAGACTCGTACCTGCTTTACCATTTACCCCACTTCAAAGAAAACCAGTTTCACCAGCCAGAGTGAGCATGTTATCCTAACCCATTTTTCAGTGGTTTGATGCCAGCCACAGCTAGCTCATGCCCAGCCCTCACTTCCATCAATATCCATCAGCATTTCTCTACATCTCTCAATAACCAGTTAGCATTTCATCTACTAATAGCTAGAAGGGAAAGGAAGAACTGGGAACAGTAAGTGGTAATCTCAATCACAATACAGAATGGTAATTTAAAAATAAAAAAACTGTAGATCTTAAAAGTTCTCATCACAAGAAAAAAAAATTTTGTGACTATGTATGGTGACAGATGTTACTAGACTTACTGTGGTGATCATTTCACAATATATACAAATATCGAATCATTACATTTTATAACTAAACTAATATAATGTTATATCTCAATTATACCTGAATAAAAAAAATGCAAAAATAAAATTCTTATAAGAACAAGGAGTTAATGCAATTGCAATTAAAAATTCTAGTAGAATTCTTTTTTGGAACAAAAAAGTGATTCTGAAGTTCAAACCAGAGGAATGATTAAATATAGCCAATAAAATAGAAAAAACTACTTAATTTTTTTTATTTAAATGAGTATTTACTGAATCCCTGGATAGGGAGAAACTGAGCTTAAAACTAATGAGTCATTTGAGAATGACAGATTTGACTCTGCAAAATATGAAACTTCTATATTTGAAAAAATTCCATTAAAATTAAAAATCAATAAACTGAGAAAAACATTTACAAAAGTATGTCAAAGGGTTTTTAGTATTTAGGTATCTTTTTGTAACTTGTTTCCACTATGTTCAAAGAACATACTCCATTATTTCAAGACTCTGAGTTGTGTCAAGATTTTGGAAAGAGTTGCTTGTGCTAGAAAAAAACGTACACCACAGTTCTCTTGTGCAATGTTCTGTATATATAAATTAGGTCAAGTTTGTTGATCATGGTGCTCAAATCTACATCCTTACTGATATCTGTCTCTTGTTCCATCAGTTACTAAGAAAATTGGGTTAAAATCCCCAACTACAATTGTGGCTTCATCTATTCCTCCTTGTAGTTCTGCCACTCTTTGCATACGGGTAAGAGAAACAGAGAGAAATTTAAAATTAATTAGAAACTTACAAATTCAGATTTTTTTTTGTCTTAGTTTGAGTTCTCCCAAAAGTGTAGATTTTAGGGCAGTTAGGTAATGGAGGTGATCCCAGGAAACACAGTAAGGAAATGAAGAGAGAGATCCAGAGAAGGAAGGAAAGCCAATAAAGTGTGTTACTGAGCTGATTTCTGCAGTAAGTGCTGGAGCCGCTCCCACAGGGAACTCACCAAGGAAACAAACAGAATGTGTTTCAGAATTGTCCCTCTAAGGGATGGGAAGTTGGAGAGTTTATCCACCGATTCCAGTCCCTCCACTGCTTGAGGCTTGCCCCAGGAGTGTTAACTGCCCCCACAATCCCAGGTTTCACCTGAGCAGCTTTTAAGTTTCCAGAAAGAGAAGCACAGTGTAGTGAGATGCTGGCAGTATACAGTGAGCTGTATGTAATATCCAGGTGAAATGAGGGGGCAAGGAGGATGTGATACAGGCCAATAAGAATATCTGCTACAGTTACATATACGGAGGTTTCATATTTTATCATTATGAAGTGTTTCTCTTCACCTTTGGTAACATTCACTGCTTCTGCTTCAAGTACAGTTTAGCTACACCATCTCTCTATTCAAAGTGTTTGTATGGTATATATTTTTTACATTTTACTTTCAACTTTGCTGTATCTTTATAAACATCAAATAATTGAGTTCAATTATCTTTACCCAGTTGGACAATTTTTATCTTTTAATTAAGCCATTTAGTACATTTACATTTACGGGACCTCTTTCGATTTATATCTATTGTCTTACTAAGTGCTATTTGTACTTAATAAGCTCTACGTTCCTATGTTCCTTTTTCTCTCCTTTCTTGCCTTCTTTGGGGCTGATAACTTCTTACTTCATTTTTCTCCTTCTGTTAGCTTAGAAGACATATACTCTATTAACATATTACTATATACTTTTAATGGTTCTCTCAAGATTAAAACTTAACTAATTAACACTAGACTTAACTAACGTTAATTAGATTAACATTAGCTAACATTAACATTAGTTTTACCAATTCCCAGGCAACCCAAGGACTACAGAAATACTTTAATTCCATTTACCCCCCCCCACCAACTTGACTGAAATGCCATCATAATTCCACATATATGTTCAACTGAAGGTTCTTGTTGTTATATACAGTAAATATTCGTTTAGATTTACCCACATATTTACTGTCGCCTTTCGTTCCTTCCTTTATCTCTTGAGCTTCCATCTGGGGTCACTTTCCTTCTGCCTGAAGAACATTCTTTTAGTATTTCCTTGGTGCAGGTCTCCTAGTGACAAATTCTCTCAATCTTTGTTGATCTGAAAATGTCTTGATTTCACCTTTATTCTGGGTATAGAATTTATTTCTGGTTTGGCAGGGAAGAAAGTCATTTCTTTGTGGACATCATTCTATTGTCTTCTGGCTTTCACTGTTTTAGCTGACAAGTCAGCTGTTAGAAGCCGTTCGTAGATCACCTTTTTTTCTTGGTAGATATCTGGTTTTGTTTTATTTTGTTCTCTTTGATAACTTTTCAGATGTCCTCTTTGTCTTTAGTTTTCAACCTAGGTAAATATTTCTTTCTGTTTATCTTGCTTGAGGTTTTCAGATTTCTTAAGTACATGGCCTTCCTCACTTTTGGCAAAATCTCGGTCAATTTATCTTCAAATATTGCTTTAGCCCATTCTCACTTTGTTTTCTCCTTCAGGGATCCCCAAAACACTAATATTTGACCTTCTCACTGTATCCTCTTTTCTCTTATCCTCTCTTCTATATTTTCTATCATTCTGTCTGTGCTTTATTACAAACATTTTCTTCTGTCATATCTTCCAGTTCACCAATTATCTCTTAATCTTAAAGGCCTTAATTTCATTTATTCTATTTTTCAGCATTATGATTTCCACCCATCTTTTAATAGTTTCCAATTTTTTCAAAAGATAAGAAATGCTCAATCTTATCTTTTATCTCCTTGAACACAGTAAACATAGCTATTGCAATTTCCTTTCCTTTTCTTTCTTTCACTTTCTTTCTTCCTGTGAAAACATCCTTCCTGGAGCTTGCCATTCTCAAATATTGGTAAGTTACTCTAGGCTACCTGTATAGCTGTCATCTTGGGAACTCCCTTCACCATTATTCTGGAGGCTTTCTGTGCTTTTCTGCTTTTTGCTTTTTTAAAAAATTCTGTCATCTTCTTCGTAAGTTTACTTCTCATTTTGGTAGAACATTCTTTTGAGATTTTACATGTCTGAAAATACCTTTATTCTCTTTTCACATCTGGTTGAAAGTTTGATTGGCTGTAGAATTTAGTAGTAAATTTCACTCAGGATGTTTTTAGTTAAATGTGAATCTTTCAGAGTTTAACATTTGGTAATGGCAGACTAGGTATTCTGGGCCAGCCCATACACTGAGGACAACTATATAAGTAAGATTTCTTAAAAACTGTGCCTGAAGTCAAGCGCTAACATGATAGGGAAGAATTACCAGGTCAGCATCTGGGCTAGGCTAGAGGTGGAGGGAGGTGAGCCCAGAGTTTGGGGCAAGTATTAACTGAAACTAGAGAAGGCAGCTGAAAGGATAAGAGGCTGAATGGGAGTTTTGATAACTTCAAGGGGCTAAGAGAATAAAAGATTTTGTGCCCAAGACAGCTCTGAACCCATCCTTGCTTTGAGTTGGGACCCTGAAAGGCTGTACCCTAGGAGTAAGAATGGGCCAGATGTAGAACAGGCCTTCTCGAAATTGCCAATCAACTGCAGACATCTGAATCTCTGAAATCAGTTTAAGATGATCTTAAGAGAGTGCTAACGTCTGTCCCCAGGCATCTCCAAAGTGCTAGGGATTCCAGGAACTTGGAAAAAACAACCTAAACTTTCTCCAAAGGAAAAAAAAAAAAAAAAACACTATTCTGTGTCTTAAACTATTTCTTCAAATAATTTTACAAATACAGTGCTTGATAACCCACTCAGAAAGTAACCCTACACATACAAGGAGATAAGACAACAAAAGTGAAAAAAAGTAGAAGCAATAAAACAAAGAGATCCATGGCAAATCTAGATATTGGCATTATCAATTCTTCCTATCATTGAGAAGGTACTTTTCAAAAAAGCAAATAAAAATGAGACAGTTACTAATTCCCCAGAAAACAAAAACATTGCACAAGAAATAAGCTTGATTATTATTATGCTATCTGAGTCAGTTGTAAATAATAATTACCATCTTAATGATATAAACACTAAACACTGACCTAATGAAAAATTAAGATATACAATTCTGGCGGGATGAGGGGATGGAAATTGTATGAGAGCAAAGCCCTTAATTTTCATAGCAGCAAGTTATTAGATAAATAGTTAAAACTGAAAATTAAGAAGATTGCCATAAAATGTTATATAGAAATATGAAGAGAATAACAAAAAAAGAGTAAAAGACACTGAAATGACTGCCTCAGAGAAGCAAGAATC